ATATATATGAGGGCTGACAAAAATTATTAGGCTCTGGTTATGTTTAACAAGGTTTTTACTTTGAGTCATTAATTAAGTTTTAATGCTGTAGTTTAGTGTTTTATAATTACTTTGAAGATTGTTTTAGGTTCATAAGTTTAAGTTCACATAATGATAGAATTAGTGCCTTAAAGATAATAATAATTGCTCAAGTGCCTATCTTAAGACAAAGATTTTCTAGGAGGTTGCCAAGCATAAGGGAAAACAGCCAAATCACCTTTATCCTAAACTTAAAAGCTCATTAGCAATTATGCAAACATAAAAATTTTAGTTGTATTAGTTTTATTTCATTATGTTTAGCTCACTTTATATGTGTATTCAAAGTAAATATTAGTGTATGTATTTTCACAGTAAGTCACTTTCATAGTTATTCTTTAAATGTTAGCCACTGTTTTTTGGTCAAGTTAATGGGCTTCATATTCCTACTATCACTAGGAACAATCTATAGTTTTGTTTTGGTGATTTTAAGGCTTTTTTAATTAGACAAGTGATGTGGAACAGAAATCAAAGTAAACCTTGTAGATTAAGTGATGCATTATGTTTAGTTTAAGTAAAACTCCTTTTAATCTTAAGACTCATTAACTGAAAGTAGTTAGTGTTTTTGACCTGTTTGTTGCTTCTAAGACCACTAGATGGGGGTAACCTTTTTTTTTTTTTTTGAGTTGGAGTCTCACTCTGTCACCCAGACTGGAGTGCAGTGGCCGCTTCCGGCCACTGCAGCCTCGAACTGCTAGGCTCCAGCGATCCTTCCACCTCAGCCTTCCAAGTAGCCAGAATTACAGGCATGCGTTACCACACCCGGCTGATTTTTTTATTTATTGTAGAGATGAGATCTTGCTGCCCAGGTGGGTCTCGAACCCGCAGGCTGAGGCAATCCACTCACCTCAGCCTCCCAAAGGTGCTGGATTACAGGCTGAGCCACCAAGCCCAGCTCGGTGGTAACTTTTAAAGGATATGTACATGAAGGAATTTTCTTTGTCTTGCCCCTTTACGAATGATATAAAAGCTTTCTGTTAACTAGCATTAAATGTCATCTGTCCTGTAAGCTTCTGGCCTGCAAGCAGGTGTCCAAGTATATTAAGTTCCTTCTTTCACCTATTCGTCTCTCCTTCAGGAAATTCCACACCCGGTGGGAGCAGGACCCCCGCACATAAAAGTACTTTTGGTGGCAGGAAATAGCTGTGATCCTGAAAGTTTTAGATAACTTGAATTTTTGTAAATTGAATAATATTTTGTTACATATTAGAATAATAAGTCTTAAAGGCCTCCTTTTATAAATCTTTTGTGTAGTGAAAGCTGTATTTGTTTATTTTTTAAATTTAGAAAGTTATAGATTATATTTGTGTGTGTGTTTAAAAATAATGTTGATGTCCAATTTTAAAAAACCAAAAACAGACACTTAAACAGCTACTTTTTTGGCAGCACCAGTTTAATAGTAAAATATAAGAACTTAAAAATTAAAATTTGCCTTTTACTTATATTTCAAATCTTATAACAGGCAAAATATTTATTAAAAGTGATGTTTTGCATCCTTTTTCTGGTTCTGACATAATACCATTCTTAGTTTTTGTGACATATGTTTCTCCTTCTAAAGCAGCTGTTATGAAAGTTTAATTAGTTTTTAATTAATGAGAATTCATGTTGTCCTGAAAATTTTGTGAATTTCAATCACATCATGAATAGTGTGAGACCTTTGAAATGTGTTGCTATTCCAAGGTTGGAACCTATAGGGTTTCTCCAACAGAAAATCAGGTCTTCCTTCCTCACAAAGGCTGGACAGCCATGTGTATAAACTGAGGTCGGTGACATGTCCATATAGCACAGTCAATTTCTTTTCTTCATTCTGAAGAAATTCTAGGAAATATGCACAATTGGTCAAAGGTGGCACTTAGTCCTGAATTGTATGTAATAGCAAGGCAGGATAGAGTCCCTAGATACAAAAAAAAGTTCACAAATTTAAATGATTTTTGCTTTGTCATTAATATTACATGGAAACGAAGTCAATGACCATTATTGAAAAAAATGCATCATTATGTGCTTCCACTGTTCCATGTTTCTGTGCAACTTTACAAAATGGAGCAAAATCTTGAGGTTTCTAGTCTTCTGGAGGTGTGTGTGGGCTGCAGACTGTCAGTAGGCAATTGATGTTCATGGGGCACAGAGGTTGTACTGAATCCTGTGTCTTAGATGACAGGACAGGTGGCAAGGAGGCTTAGTTACAATATGAAAAAGAACCTGAATGAGATTTATTATGTTTGGAACTTTGAAGCAAGTTGTTTGAAATATCGTAGAGCTCTATCGCGACTGATTAGAACTCAGGGATAGGAAATGAGTTATCATGGTCTGTATCGTTCTGATGTAGACACTAGGGTAGGAGTCCATCTCTGGATGGTATGCAGGTATCAGTAAGGATGAAGGGTTAACTAGGAGTTTGCCTGTGGCTTATGGTAAGTTTCACATTTCTGAAAGTTTGACTTAGTGATCTTGCATCTTGAGGAGTTTCCAAGTTTTCTTTGAGGGGGTGTCTGAACCTAAGAAGATAGTCTAAATTGGTGCTTGAGAACAACTAGGATGAATTGCTCTGGCCAGTTGTATTGTAGAGGCTGAAAGAGGACTTTACTGGTTTGAGTGACTTATTCTGCAATGTGGCTTCTGTATCCTGCATTTCAATACGGGACAAAGAGAGAGATGGGTGTTAGAACACACCCAGAGCCATTCTTAAACTTCTATATTCATTTCTGCCATGCCTGACAGCTTAGCACAGGAGCTTTTACATAGTAGGTTCTTTGTAAACATTAACAGAATTGAATTAAACCTATCAAATGTGATATAAATAATAGTTTCATGTCTGAATTTTTCAGTGTCAGATAAGTCATTTCCACCCAAGGGACCTTATATATACTTCCCTATAAAAGAGTGTCTATGAAAATACTTATTCAGAGGGTGTCTAAAAAAATTTGTTGAAATGTAAAGTATGGTCAATACTGCTAAATACAGTTATTAATATCTGGTCATAAAGGTTGGCTATAAGATGTGTTTTTAGAAGTAAAAATATTCCAGAAGTAAGTCAAATTTTGGTGAGTTCATTATATTTTATCAGTCATCACAAGATTTATATTTAAGGATAAAATCTACGTATATCAGCAAAATTTTTTATCATAAAATAGTAATAATTTTCTGGGTGTGATGGCTCACACCTATAATCCCAGGACTTTGGGAAGCTGAGGTGGGAGGATTGTTTGAACCCAGAAGTTCAAGACCAGCCTCGGCAACTTAGGAAGACCCTGTCTCTATAAAAAATAAACAAAATCAGCAGGGCGTGGTGGCACCTGTAGTCCCAGCTACTCAGGAGGCTGAGACAGAAGGATTGCCTGAGCCCAGGGTGAACCATGACAATGCCACTGCACTACAAACTGGACAACAGTATGAGACCCTGACTAAAAAAAAAAAAAAAAAAGCTAATAATTTGTTATCCAATTGTGTGGCTTACAAGTATTATGTATGGTAAATGGTTCTTATCATTTTTCTTTAATTGATGAAGCAAAGTACTGTTCAGCAAAGTCCATCTTTAAAAGTATTTATTCAGTTGACAGCCAATCACAAACTAAAAGATTTGAAAAAAATAACATAATTAAGAACATGACAAATTGCCTGTAGTTTGATGATATGGGGAAGAAAGGTAGTCTTACAACTTTAAGTATGTACACTTAGACGAAAGCCACTTCTAATGTAGTACAGTAACATCAGATATTTTAATGATTCACCAATGGAATAAACTGGTCATTTGAGTAGAAAAAAAGTACTTGGATGTAAGGTATTTATCTTGTATTAAAATAGCATGGTGCAGACTGGGCCAACGATGGGCCAAAGGAACTAGTGCTAGACAGAAACAGGAATTGGCTTAGTTCTGTCACTAGCTATGACCTTGGGTAAGTAACCTGAGATATTCACTTTCCCATCTGTAAAAGGAGCAGTTGAGTCAGATGGTCTATGTGGTCCCAAACAAGAAAGGACAAGAACTGCAGCCTGGGAATTGTGAAAAGGGAAGGTGAATACCGAGTCATCTCTACATAAGGACTTGTGTGCATGTGACTGAAGGATGGCAGACGTGTCTTGTTTGTTTGTTTAATTATTTATTTAAAGATCCAATTTTAAGTCTTCGGCTGTTATACGTTTGGGCATATCACAGCTTCTTCTTTTTCTTCTTCTTCTTTTTTTAAAGAGATGAGGTCTCATCAAGTTGCCCAGGCTGGTCTGTAAAATAGTCTATGTCTCTAAAGTTCCTCTTAGTTCCAACATTTAAAGAGTTATCTTCGGTGAAATTTTAGAACAGTATATTTAGAGAACTGTATGTTTTGAAAATATAATGTTTTTACTAAGCTATATCTTCAAAATATACTTTAAGATATGTATCCCATAGGTGCATTGAATGCTAAAATAATTAGATATTGTTCAAATGCAAAAAAATTATTAGAAATAATCAGGGTATCTCAATTAATTTCCAAATTAATAGATTCACTATGTTGAATATTTCTGAAACAGCAAAGCAATTTTTAATACATAAATCCTATGCTTAATAATTATCCTTAATTTTCTTTTTGTTCCTTTGTTTAAATTAACAAACCCTCATTCTACTATTCTTATAATGGCTGTATTATTTACATGAAATAAGACAATTCTCTTCCAAAAAATGTGCTCACAGAGACATCCATAGAGAAAAGCAAATATATTGTTGGTTCAAATAATCTCAAATAGCAGAAAGGCAGCCTTTCATTGATTTAGGACACCACTTAGAATTATTTTTAGAAAGTCACTTATTTTGGCATAGTACTGCTAGTAAAACTTAATGTATTTTATATTTAATTAACGCAAGACAAGTTTTCAGAAAAATTTAGTTCAATCTGTGAAAGAGTCAACATTTTCAAATCTTACAGTTAAGACTTCAGCAGTATGAGAGAAAGTTTAGAAAACATTTTTATTAGACAAATTATTTAGACAAATTATACACAGAAAGCTCTGCCACTCATAACTGAGGCCTCCAAAAATGTTTTGTGTATTTGTATAATAGGCAACACATCAAAATAAGCCTATTTTAAATATTATACATGGTTAACAGTTTGTTGATAGCTAAAATCACTGCAACATCTGGTATGTCCCTATATAGCTTGTTGTAAAGAATTTTTTGTTTTGTTTTAAAATCAGAGTTGTGAATGAGATCATGAATGTTACAAGGGAAAACAAGTTGTGCATGCACTTAGGTACTTGTTACCCTGGAAACAAAATGGTTTTTGCATGATAAGAAATTTTTCTGCCTTACACAGTAGACAATATTTGAAGATTTAGTACAAAAACAGTGACAATACAAGATGCTCCCCAGAACAGAATTAGCATCAAAATATAATATATCTTAAGAATATACCTTTTAATTTCTCCTAAAGCAAATCACATAGGTTGATTCCTACATCAATCCTAGCCACAGAATGAATTAGATTAAAATAAGTGTATGGCTGCAGAAAAACACAGAATAAGTTCTTGCTTCCTACTTACCACGTTTTAATTTAAGGATTGCAAACAAAGTTCATTCTACATCGCTAACAGGTAAGAATACTACTTTAAAAGGGTTTGTGCACAAAGAGGCACTGTTTTTGCTGTCATTCTTCTAGATTCTTGGCACTAATGTAAAAAATACATAACTCCTCCAAATAGAACTAAATAAAAAAGGGGGTCAAGTTGAGAGCCCATTATGGTGATTATATTTTCTTCTTTAGGACAATGTATGACAGTAATTTAAGGCCACATTGCTATTTCTTGAGGGCTCCCGCTCTTCCCCAAATAGTTATTGTATTGATTGGCTTACTGCTTTGGAAGAGGATTTTTAACCTTCAATGATCTACGTTTAAACTCTTCTAGAACTCTATGTGCTGTTGTGGATGTGATGCAGCTAATAGCATTTTTCACTTAGATCATTATTAAAAGTAAAAGTATCAGGGTTAGCTTTGTACACGGCTGAATAACAAATGCAAAATCTACTCAAGTGAGTTACATCTAGGAACAAATATTAAATTGCCCTGGATGTTTTAATAACAAAAGTATAAAATATTTTTTGTTGGCAAACAATGCAAATTGGAATAACATTAAAGCAACCTGCCTTTTCTAACTGAAAAGAACCCCTGCACTATACATAGTTCCTGTATACAATACTTTTATTTAAACTAAAGCTTTATTAAATGAATTGCAATAGCAATGGCTGCCTTTGTATATATATATACACATTGTATAGGTGCATATATATGTATATATATGAGATACTAATTTATTTAACACAATAGAGGCTTCTGCCATATGATAAAGTTTACTGTACATAAGAAAAACTTTTAATACTGTACAATCACATAAAGGTCATATGCACTGTTGCAGTGCAAGAGTTGTTTTAACTGTAGTCTTGACTGGCATATTAATGGCTTTTTGTAATCCTACAAATTGCATTCTCATCTGATGTGGCCTGAATGGTCTTTAAATTGTTTTATAGATACTGCAGGGGTTGCCTTTGGTCCACAGTTAAAGGACACTCAACAGCAGTGGGGCATTGTATGGATGCAGTAGAAGAATGTAAAAAGACTGAAGTTATTGCAATTATATTTTTAAAAATAGAGAAACGTTACATATGAGGCCTTTATGTAAAATTAATCCTGCATATACTTTTAGTATACTCAGTGCACATTTCCTATACTTGATGTACAGTATATGAAAAGCAGACTAATAGGATCCTAGTATACTACATTCTGGGGGAACAAGTTGAGTAATGAAAAAAAGTGAAGAAAAATGTACGGAAAGAGAGGGAAAAGAGAGAGAAAAAAATAGAAGAGAGAGAGGAGGTGGGGGGGAGATAAAACTAGAATTGTTACTAATAATCCTGATTTTTTGTTTAAAGTTACATCCATGTTAGTCCCACAATATTACAGTTGCTCCTTGCAAAGGGAGTCCTAAAAGGAAACAGTGAAGAGATTTTGTTTGATGCTCATATGGAGGTGCCTCGGTCTGGATCATTACCCAGATTGAGCCCCAGGGTAGGAGTTGGTTGATAAGGAATAGATGACATTGTTTTTATAGGACTCCTGAAAAAGCCCCCGTTAGGTGCCCTGTGCCTAAAAGGGCCAGTTCGGTGCTCAGGCACGTTGCCAAAAGTGAAACCAGAGGCAGCTTTAGCTGACAGTGTGCGGCTAAGAGTCTGGATTTGCTCTGGGATAAAGGTTGTTGTGGTAATATGAGTGTTCCTGAAATCACTGATTTGCTCCAGTGCTTGTCGTGTTGGCAAAGTGTCAATGTCCAGAGGGGTCAAGTCAATTGACGAGGTGGAAAACTGTTTATGGGGGCTGTCGTCATCTGTGCACAAGCTATTTACACGTCTATGGAGGTGCTCCAGGTCAATTTCCTTGTCATCCTGGAGACGAAGAAAAAGAAAATAAGGTTCTCATCAGTACTAGCTTCCATGGTTAAAAAAAAAAGTAGTTCAGCAAACATGTAATTAACTGAACTTTGGGGGTTTATTCATTTAACAAATATTTATTGAGCACCTAATATGAGCAAGGCACGGTGCTAAGTTCTGGGGGTAACAATATGATTCTGAGATAAAATTATTTATAATAAATATTTTTCTTGCAATCAAGGTTTTAAAATGAGCATACGCCACATGCAACTATAAAGATATGGAAGCAGTAGATGACTGATTGCGATTCTATGAGAGACAGACTCAGGCAAAACTGTACAAATAAGTATGGCTTTGGCAACTCCACCCCCCACCTCTTCTTTATACATGCTTTATTCTCCTTTTTCAGAGTGTCTCATTCCAAGTTAAATTCTTGTTCTTTCAACCACTTATCCTAACCTTAAGTTTCCATTCTTGTAGGAAAATGATACAGTGTTTCATACTAAAATGTTAGTGACTGTTAAAGAGTTATTTCTTATGGGCCAAAGACATGTGAGATTATTTAGAGAGAGCAATACTCAACACAAAATAAGCAATTTTTTTTTTTTTTGAGTTGGAGTCTCACTCCGTCACCCAGACTGGAGTGCAGTGGCACGCTCCCGGCCACCGCAGCCTCGACCTGCTGGGCTCCGGCGATCCTTCCGCCTCAGCCTTCCAAGTAGCTGGAACTACAGGCGGCACTAACACGCCCGGTTAATTTTTGATTTATTGCCAAGTTGCCCAGGCGGGTCTCGAACCCGTGGGCTCAGGCAATCCACTCACCTCAGCCTCCCAAGGCGCGGGATTACAGGCTGAGTCACCAAGCCCGGCTGAATAATCAATTTTTAATTGGGGGATTTCATACACTCAAGGTATCTAGTGCCTGTATCAGGCAATATTGTGAGATCTATGAGATATTTAGAGACCCCCTTCAAGTAAGGATATGTGAGTGGTAGCTTTAGTTCAGGGCCAGCTTTATGCAAAACGGACTCAAAACCAAAGATGCTTAAAGCTATGCTAATGGCATCTTGTTAAGAACTCATTTGATAAACAAAAAGAAGTAAAATCTCATATTTCTGGAGTTAAAACCAATTAATAAATTCTTTATGATTCTCACTAAAAATTAGTACTACAGCCTAATATTTGAAAAATAAAACTAGGAAGAAACAAAATTGTTCTTGTTATCAGTTTTATTTATAGCCAAGTTCAATAAATTAAATTTATGTAATTTAAAATACCTATTAATCATAAGAGGAGAAAATATTTGTTCATAGGATCTAGATTAGCGTTACAAGTTAGAATGGAGTATGTATTTTTTTCATTGTGCTATTATAGTGTTCCTCAGTGAAAAATATTTTGATGTGCATCACTGTTTTTCTTCCTCCTTTCTCATTTCAAAATCCAATAAAAAATATCCATTAATGCAATATTATTACTGAGACTTTAGAGGGTTGAGACATATAATTTTATGGTTCCCACAGCAACTGTAATGTAGTCATCCATCAACAGATATAATAACGCAAAAATTTAATATCATGTATAGTAATTCAAAATATTAGGAGCTTGGGGAGTCCTTAATTTCCAGATTTTTGAGAATATGCAATCTTGGCTATAATGTTGCATTAATGTGGTCTTTTGCATTGAATCCGTGTCAACAGAGATACCAGAAGCTTATTCCACAAAGAAAACACTATGATAAAACCTGATTAATTTTTAATTCATTCTCCACTAATTTAGGATGGATGATCATTCACATAGGTAGGAAGCTAAGAGTCATCTTTGCTAAGACGAGCTTTTTCTTAGAAATAGTGCTGATCAATTTTGCATATAAGGTGGTAAGAAGGAATCCTTAGAGTACTTTTGAAAACAATCTGTTTGAAAGAATACATTAACATGCAAAAATTCATATGCAAATGAGAAGTCATTTTTAGGTTTGCATTAAAGCAGAACTTTTCAGGATTTGCCCTAGGCACAAGTTAGTTAGTCAAGTTCTAGTTACAGGAAGTTTAAAACTTTCTTTGAAATGATCTGTCAAATCAAATCATTTTGCAAATTCAAATTGGTTTTCATTTCAATTTGTGAAGCTCTAGTGGATATGATTTCATTATTTAAAACATTCTTACCCCCTTGTTTCGATGGAAATAAGATAAATGCATCAAATAGCTTATTTTGACATCAGATTTTCTCTAATTTATAAATATCATAATTTGTGGTAAAAACACGGCTTGGGTCACTTGAAGAGAGATGTGTAATTCTGCATCTATGCTTTCAGATATCTAGATAAAAATTAATATGGCCCTGAAGTTAAGCTGACAGAAAAGCAAAGGAGTAAATTGAATTCTGGATGATTTCATGATGTAGACTTAGTAAACATGGGACCACTGAAGAGTCAAAGACATATGATCACATCTATAGAGCTATATGTACATAGGGGGAAACAATCACCAGAGGTGAAGAGAACAATCTGATCATTTGTACTGTAGTACCGTATTTTTTAGGCCCGGTCTTCGAGACACAGAGAATTTACCTACAAGTTAAGTAACTAATTGAAATAAAATGGCAAGCACTTCTGTGAAGTGGTTAAGGCCTTTAAAAATCACTGAATTAAAGTCTGTTCTGAGATTTGGGAGAATTTCAAAGCCCCTTATGGCACATGAAATCCTCAGTCTTTCAGTCACTATAGTCCACTCTTCACTGAGCTGAGATGTCCTAAAATTGGTCTTATCAATTTTTGTATTTCGCAACCTTACTTTTAATCTACAAAGAAAGGATAAACAATGGCCACTCCCAACTCATCCTCCCTGGAATCATCCTCCTGGAAACACAACCTGCTTGTTGGGTCAACTCAGAGCCAAAGTTCTCAGTCAAGTACCTCTTTTGATGGGACCCGGGAGCCTTTCCTCTTGTTCCACCATGTCTCCAGCATGGCTATGAAGCAGGAGAGGACAATTCCGGCAGCCAGGATACAAAAAACCCCTGCAAAGCTTTTAATGTCCAGGGCGCCTCCTTTTTGCTTTGTGTCCACTGAGGAGTACAGGTCACACTGGCCATTCTTAGGCCACCATTTGTGCTTCAGGATGTCCATGTCACCGTTCTGCTGAAGTTCCAGGATCCTTCGGATGAAAAACACAACCGCGTGTTATTGCAGACACAGTTATTGGCTTGGCCCACAACCCATGCTTTCATAGTCCCAACTCTACAAGATGGTGACTATCAAGGGGAAATGAATATATAGATCAGTGTGTAGATGGAATTCAAGGAAACGGAAATCACCATTACTTTGATCCTGCAGACATTTGCACTGCAGTGCTTTCCTCTCCATCTGTCCCTTCCTCCCTCCCTCCTCCCTTCTTCTCTCCTTTTTTTCCTATTTTTCTTCTTCTTTTGGTTTCCTCCTATAATGCTAAGTATTCCCCCCCTGGTTTGTTGCTTCGAGTTTTCACAATTACATTTCAGAGGCACTGTTTTTATGTGGTTTCAAGCTGCTGCAGTTCTGTGTTCCTTCCCTCCATACGGAGTGATACTCTGGATCTTAATGCTTTTATGAAGAATGTTTTGTTGCTTAGAGTAATACACTGGCATAATGTCGCCCAGCATATGCTACACACAAAGAAATTCAATTAAGAAGACTTCTATTATTTAACACAGTGTGAGAGAAAGCCTTGGGACAAGTTTGAAGTTGATAAAATACATCGCTTTTTGGTTTTTCACACATCTGATCTACTTTTCTTTTTAATGCCAAAGGCAAAGTTATCTTACCTTGGAGAACAAGAAGAAAAGTTGACCAGAGGCTTTCAGAAGTAGTTAAATTCAAATAAGAAATACCCTTCCTCTTCCTTTTTTTTTTTTTTTTTTTTTACCCTGGAGTCTGAGGATAGCTGCAAAGACTGCAGCTTTTTAAAGTGTGATTTTCATAGAGAGATCATTCTCAATTCCAGATACTCCTTAGCCTGTACCTGAGATCAGCCTGGTTTTGGCTTCCTCCAGCTCTGCTCTTTTTCACAGGGTGAGGAAGGTCAGGTCAAGGCTGTGTGCCTGTCCAGGGTGTGACCATCCTCAGGATTCCCTGGAATTTTCTGGCTAACAGCTTTTCCAGTGCTTTTCCAGGGTCCATTAGGCCTGTTCCCAGGGATGTCCTCCTGAGAACAGATCTCATGGCCATGTGTACACCACAGATCTAGAAAGAGGAGAGAGTGTGGATGGAGTTCACATGTATGAGCTCAGGTACATACACCTATGTGGGAGACCTTTCACTGTGTGGGGCAGAACTGGAGATGGGAACAGAGAGGTCCAGAGGACAATCCCCTCTGGGTCAGCGCAGACCTCTCAGCTAGTCACAAATGAAACACTCGAATCTGGCCTCCTAGGAGTCATGAAAGTATATTTGTCAGGGTAAGAGGACAGACCATATCATAACTAACAATTTTTAGCTTATTTATAATTTTTACATAATTAGACTTGGGATACCTGGACCTGCATTTGTACTCTTGCCCAAGAATCTTGGATTATTTGGAGCAAGATGGCTTAGAACTAAGAGAGAAGAAATGAGTTAATCTGGATGGAGTAAATCACTCACTTTCAGTGGTTTATTACCTTTTTACATGTTGCATGCCATCCATGCGGCTAGAAAAAGGAGCAAACTGGTAAAGGGAAGAAGATTTTGCGTACTGGGGGTGGGGTCAACATTTAACTTGAGTTAAACAAGAGTGAGACCAACCCCAGAGGTTGTGATGGTGAGTCAATCCATACCCTTCTCATCTCCCTTGGGTGATCAAGTCTCAGCCCTGGTGCTGGCACTCCATGACTGACACTCCAGGACTGACAGTGCATTGGAACCTCCCTGCAACTTGGACCTTCTCTTCTCGCTTCTTATGAAATCGATCTGTTCTTCACCTCAGCAAGTTGCTTTAAAAGGTCAGTTAATTTGATGACTTGAACTTACTAAAATTATTAATGAGTTACATGTCACCCTTATTCCAGCTTCCATCCCAGACAAAGTCATTTGCATTTTCAGAATTTCCAAAAGTGCATTAACAGGAAACAAGTACGTAGAAGGTCTCTGCAAGAAAAGGGTCTTGTGGTTGTTAATTTTGAGAAACACCCTCTTAGAAATTTACAAAGAGTTCAGCCTACTAGAGGTTCTGAGAAGACCTGCAGTAAAGAAACCCCATATGATTTTGTTTAACTCAGCATTTCTCAAACCTAGGATGTTAATTCCTCTACCCTCATTTTTCTTCCCAAGCCATTTTTCTTTCCAAGTAACATATGATAACCTATGGAGTTATAGGGTTTGAGAAATAATGCCTTGACCCAAAGAAGCAACTCTGTGTAAACATTTCCAGTGCAGTGTTAGGTACTACACAAAGACATAATCATAGCATCAGTTACTGAGTTGGTTTATTCATGAATCCCATTTAAACGATGTCGGCATTGCTAATCAACAGGTATAATGTTACCATTTTACAAGATGAGTAAGTTCTAGAGATCTGCTGTACAGCACAGCACCTAGAGTTAACAATACTGCATTGTACAGGTAAAAATTTTTTAATAGGATAGCACTCATGTTAAGCGTTCTTACCACAATGATAATAAAAAATAACGGCACATCCTTTAGATATTTGCCTACCTAAAGACTCTAGGTAATCAGAACATAATTGAATGTCTTATAGGAAAAAGCTAGCCATTTTTGAACAAATAACTCTTCTTCAATTTAAGTTTATAAGTACTTGTAGGGATAAAAGGAAACTATAACAACTTTTGCTTAATGAGAATATAACTGGGCACAAAATGAGAACCCGTTTCCCTGAACCACTCTCACCCCCACTGTATTAGTGTCTGTGAAAATGTAAGTATTTTCCTTCATAGCACTGATTCTCATTTGTAATTACTTGACTGGAGTTGGTTCCTCTTTCTAGAATGTGAACTCACCACCTCCTATATTGCCTAAAACAAAGCAGATGTACATTTATGGATAAAATATAGTCAACATAGTTTTTGGTAAACAGACTCTGCTGTCAGAGCCTTTTTTATCATTGTTGCTATTTTCTGATTTATTTCATTCTCAACTTATTAATGTATCCATTTAAATAAATATTTAAGCAGTGACTTCATTCTATACATTTCCTTGGATACAAATTTATTCTAAACCACAACGGTACATTCAGCCAGAATGGTTTGGGCAACACTCTGAAACCATTTCCCCCCTAATGCCCTCAATACATATTCATTCCTTTATTCCTTCATTCAGAAACAAATTGCTGTCTTCTCTTTCTCCTCAGTGGTATCTAGGGCCCCCATGTTTCATTTACTTAATCTGTTTTCTTATTTTTTCTAATCCCGGAAAATATTTTGACTTTAAAAATACTTAGTGAAGTATATATAGTACACCTAACCCACTTCAATTCTCATAGCAGTTAAAGGCCTTAAATCAAAATGATTTGTTCAATTGCAGAATTTTCAGTTTCAGTCAGATGGGCCATAGGAGTTCACTGAGGATAAAGAGGGAAGGGTCCTCTTAAGGTGCCTTTAGGCACCATTATGCCTCAGAGATCTCTCCGTATGTTTAATCTCATGGGCACTGCAGTATGAATGGCTGAGGCATTGCAGGGAGACCTCATCTTTAGAGATATACGGAGCAATTGGGTCACAAGATCCCTCAGTCAACCCCACCATATATTCCAGAAATATAGACTGGCATGGGCGGGAAATGTTGGAAGGGAATGAAAGTGTTCTGTAGATCCAGAGTTCTGTCAAAAAAATCTTGTCACAAAATCAAATGCACCTGGAAATTTCATCAGAAAGGACTTACAACTGCCTTCTTTTACAATTATTTAACAAAAACCTTATTTAAAGATTTGGTGGGCTGGCCCGGTGACTCACACCTGTAATCTCAACACTTGGGAGGCCAAGACAGGAGGATTGCTTGAGCCCAGGAGTTCAAGACCAGCCTAGGCAATAGAGCGGGACCTCATTAAAAAAAAAATTTCCTAGTGAGGGGCCATGTCTGTAGTCCCAGTTACTCAGGAGGCTGTGACAGAGAGAAGGATCATCTAAGCTCCGGAGGTCAAGGCTGCAGTGAGCTGTGATCGTGCCCCTGTACTCCAGCCTGGGCAACAGAGTGAGACCCCAACTCAAAAACCAACACAATACAACAACAACAACAACAACAACAACAAAAGATTAGGTAAAGAAAGTTTAGTAACATGTAATGCACTGCTTTAAAGCCTGACAGGATAAATCCTTATAATAAATGAAGAGACATTGTCTTTTCAACAGAACTACCTACATAAGCATTTTTGGGGCACAATATTCAATCTGGAGAATGGGCCACCTGAGACTCAATCCTCACCACTACACAATATGCATGTGTACCCCCTGAATCTAAAATTAAAAATGAAGAAAAAAAGAGTAAGGGTTAAATTTACTAAGCATTGCATGCAGAGAATTTAGCATATTGAGATATTTGTCTAAGACAATGTAAAATGCCAACTCCTTGTATTGGAACTTAAGTATAAAAATCAAGCAAAACAATAACCACAAAATATTTGGTAAAGAAAGCTTAGTAGCATGTAATGCACTGCTTTAAAGACTGACAGGATAAATTGTTATAATAAAGGAAGAGAAAATTTCATATCTTCCCAAAGTACTGGCCCTTTTAAATGAAACTTAAAAACACCCCTAAAGGAGAGTTTTACTTTCTAGTTATAAGTGAAAATAATGTGTGTGTGTGTGTGTGTGTGTGTGACAATGCCAGAATCTAGTTGTAAAATTCAGAAAACTTTTGGGTTTATGGGATGATAATGTTTTGTTAGATGTACAATTTCCACAAGATGGCAGTCTTTACTTGTGGAGAACATAGAATTACTGTGGTTATAGGTAACTTGTGGGTTTGAAATGCTGAAATATAGACTTCTGGGTGTTTTTTGTAAACACTTAAACTATTAGAAACAAAGTTATGAGACTGTGATAAACAATTAAATAGCTAAAACCTCTTGGAGTGTAGTCAGAGAAATTTCTGCCATTTTTTCTCCAGGGTGATAGATGACAACATGTACTTCTGAGGACTACTGTGTTGAGAATTGATGAGACCACGTATGAAAAGCATCGTGTTCAT